ATCAGGGTATCGAAGATTGAAGATCTTGAAGGAATGGACTGGTTCTCCATCATCACTACTCCAAATCCTACTCTTACTCACCTGGTCCATAGCATCTGCATCTAGAAATTTCTTTCCCTGAAACCTATCTACGCAACGTTCTTGAGAATATTCGAGGAACTACGAAGATCGAACCAAAGTTTGCAGATCTTTTTGATACAAGCAATGTTGCTAGGGCTGTGAAGCAATAGTTCAAGAATTTGCTCTAGTGGAAGAATCAACCTCAGCTAGTCGTTAGAGCACTTTGAATTTTGGCGTTTCAATAGCTTACTGTTAAAAAATTGATTCTACAAAGTTCAAGGATTGGGATAGGTTCTAAGGTTGATCAAGTTGAAGCTATCCAGAAATACAGTAGAAACTTAAGGATCAGTAGGCACTAGGGTTGATCTAGTCGACACTGTCTAAAAATGAAGTGGAAGATCAAGGATCTGTAGGTTTCAAGGTTGATCCAATTGACGCTATCTAAAAATGGAATAGAAGCTAAAGAAACGGTAGGCTTTAGGGTTGATCTAGTTGATGTAGTCTAGAAACACATCGGATGCTAAAAGCTCGGTAGGCTCTAAGATTGATGCAGTTGACGCTGTCTAGAAATGCATTTGAAGCTCACGGATTGGCAATCTCTAACTAAGGCTTATCCAGTTGACATTGTCTAGAAACATAGTGGAAGCTCAAGGATCGGTAAGCTATAGGGTTGATCTAATTAACGTTCTCTAGAAACGCAATGGAAGCTCACTGATCGATAGGCTCTTGGGTTGATCCTATTAATGTTGTCAAAAAAGACAGTGGAAGCTCAAGGATTGATAGACTCCAGAAACGCAGTGGAAGCTCAATGATTGGTAGGCTCCAAGATTGATCAAGTTTAACGCTATCCAGAGATGCAGTGGAATTTCAAGGATTAATAGGCTCCAAGGTTGATCATGTTGACACTGCCCAAAAATGTACTAGAAGCTCAAGGATTAGTAGGCTCTAGGGTTCATCAACTTGATATTGTCTAGAAATGCCAGCAAAAGGTTGAGTAGGTTATAAGGTTGCTAGTTAAAAGTGTCTAGAAATACAATGGGAGCTCAAGGATCAATAGGTTTTAGGTTGATTCAATTAACGTTGTCAAAAAACGCAGAAGAAGCTCAATGATCAATACGCTTCAAGATTGATCGAGTTGACACAGCCCATAAATGCAATGGAAACTCAAGAATCAGTAAGTTTTAGGTTGATTCAATTAATGTTGTCAAAAAAATGCAGAAGAAGCTCCATGATCAAGGCTTCATTGTTGATTGAGCTGACACTGCCCATAAATGCAATGGAAGCTCAAAGATTGATAGACTCTAGGGTTAATCCAGTTGACGCTCTCCAGAAATGCAATGGATGCTTAAGGATCAGTAGGCTCTAGGGTTGATCTTATTGACACTATTTAAAAATATAGTGGAAAATTAAGGATTGATAGGTTTTATGGTTGATCTAGTTGACACTTTCCAGAATCATGGCGTTCAACATTGTCCAGAGAAGACAATGTTGGATTTATTGAGAGCGATATTGAATATATATTGAAAACTCTTAAACATGACCATTAGAAAAAAAAAAAGAACCCAAAAATTGAATGATGATTTGACAAGTGTATCACGAAGTCTGATATTGGTAGAACAATTCAGTAATTCAGAATAAAAAAATAGCTGTGAGAGTTGAGCCCAAAATCCATGAGTTGGGAGGATTCTTGCCTATCAATACAGCAAAAAGGTTTAAGTGTTTTAAGAGGTATATGCACGAGAGAGGCCTGACCCCTGTGGAAATTCTAAAAGTAGAGTGAGCACGAGAGAGATAAGCAACGTCTGTAGAAGTGTTTAAATACATGAGAACATGTATATTCCTTGAGTAATTACCCCCATGCCTTAGGTGGGTGATTTCACAATAGATGTAAAAATCAACGTTCGCTCTAGAATAGAGCATATAGCTGGACATGGATACATGATGATTGAAGCTGCAAAACTAGAAAAGTGTTAGTGCAATGTTTGCCACGTGAAGGTTACCAAGTTGAGAAGTTGGCTGAAGTGTAGTGCCAACAAGTGAAAGGGTTATGTTGAAAGCTTCTAGACTTTGCTTCAGTAAGGGATGTGACCATGAAGGGGAAATGTTGTCAATACAGTTGTGCCCCTGAGAAAGTTATCGATGATGTTGACTAATTTAAGTGGGAGAGTACGTTGAAAGCTTCTAGACTTTGCTTCAGTAAGGGATGTGACCATGAAGGGGAAATGTTGTCAATACAGTTGTGTCCCTGAGAAAGTTATCGATGATGTTGACTAATTTAAGTGGGAGAGAATATCACAGTCATATCATAGGTTGTGACCTCTACATGCAAACAGACAAAGCAACGACACATAAGTGTCACCTAATTGACCAAGTGAGAGCTGAGACAAGACAAGTACTATATAGTCCGGTCTATCATCTAAAGACAAAACACATTAGAAGACGATACCACTTCACTCACAAGTCAATAGAAGGAGGTGATATTTGTTTTGAGAATATAAAAGGTGCATCTAAGAGATAAAATATGTCAACGTTCGTAACCTAAAGTTGTGCAAATTCTTGGCGATCATTTGTAGCTTCTGCAAATGTTGCGACGCAGTGAAGATATTGATGATGAGAAGAATCCTTTGAGAATGATTTTTTTTTTAGGAAATAGTTCTAAGATGTTCCTTTTCCAGTAAGAGAATTGTTAGGTTGTGGAGGCTGATGTTTACTTATGAGTTAAATTTACGAAAACTTTGTAGTTAAAGTAATTTGAGGAAATAGTTTCTAAGAAAAATCTTAGTTATCTCTAAATAAATCTTAGTCAATATAGAGTTATATAGAGTTTTCTATAAGAGTGTTTCCACGTATATTTCTCCTTATATTTTCTCTCTTTTGTTCTTTATGTTTTTAATCTAGATCGAGTATGTGAGTTTTGAGATCTTAATAGTGGATTCTTATGTATAATTCTGAATCAAATGAAAATAGGTAGAACTTTCTAGTCAAGACAAGGTTGAATGTGTAGTACTTCTCTATACACAGCCCACACACATGCACATGAGCCCACTAAGAGGGCTCGTATACATGTCCCTTAGGCTTGACACGCTCATGTTGTTAGAAGCATGGAGGGAAAGGAGTGCACATAATATCATGGCGTATATAATATTGTGGGGTACGTTAATTATAATCAAGAAGTATCATAAAGCTCTAATCATAGCCAAGAAGTATCCTAATGCATGAGGTCCCATAGTTTCAAATCATGGTATATACTTATGATGCAAACCATACCTCCATTCTTTTTATGATGTAACGTTCCTATGAGACATGTATACACATACTAAACATATCTCATATGCATAAATGTTAACATAATATACGTGGCATGACATATGGAGGTTCATGCATCATATAACATTCATATCATAACATAAATCGTCATATAACATAACACACATCATACACTAAAGCATCATAAAATATGATACTTATAGGACCACAAAGTAATTGTCATTCATACATGATACAAGTCATCCAACCAAGTCCGTGGGCATCCAATAGTAGAACCACTTGCTTAGTTGGTCTTAGCCGAAATTACTACTTTTCCTTCATGATAGTTTAAAGATGCTCCTTCAAATCTAATTCTACTTGAGGAGTCCCACAATAATGATTTAGAATTCTACTATGGAAATTTGTTCATCTAATTATATAAAATATTCTAAACTTGGCTCCAAATAATTTATATTGTCAAAGCAATGACCTCAAAAAAAAGTTTAGAAACGAATCCCAATGGGTCGAAAATGGTAGGAAATGGTCTAAAAATATAAAACCTAAGCTAGACTAGTCGAGAGGTAGACTTGGTGCCTTTAGAACATAATTTCTATGATTGACTCCGAATTGTCAAAGTAGGATGAAATGAAACAGCTTGTAAATTAGAAAGCAAGGGACCTCTCTTATACATTAAAGTCCAATTCCTTTATGAATTTGATGGATGTGGGACAAATTTTTTTTTGCTCGTTTATTATAGTTTACACCTTAATGCTACTAAAAATTTAATTAACTTCAAGAAACTAGTCTCGATGAGATTTAAATCGCTTAGACACCTTAAAAATCTAGTAAATCTATGTGATATCCAAGGATGACTAAGAAAGCTTCACAGACCTAGTAGCAATGTGAATGACATTACTAGACTTTCGCCTCCTATCTCCTCTGCTACGCGATTAATGCTGTAAACAACCTAGGTCAAATCTTTAGTGTCCGGCATAGCTATAAGAGAACATGAGAAGTACCGTCGGACAAGCATAGGTCGAAAAGTGTTAGCATGTCGAGGCGACTAGATGCCTTTATCTGGTGGAAATGGGCAGAAGTCCCTAAACTCAAAGCTACGATAATATCCGATTTGATTCGTTCTAAGAGGGGCATTGGATCACATAAACCTAGTAACCAGCAAGCACACATGGTAGCTTCTTTAGATTTGTGACTCTTTTGCAAGCACACATGGTAGCTTCTTTAGATTTGTGACTCTTTTGCTTGTGGAAGGGTTTGTCAATTAACCTTCCATACCTAATGTTTAGACCAATAAATATCATTAAGCGAACAAATTTTATGAGGTAGTGCCCCAACCCCAAGTATATATACGTATACCAACCCAACGTATGGAACTTCGTAGATTCCTACCAGCCGTAGGTATTAAATAGGGTTTGTGTAAAAGAATATAAATAAAATTTAAGCATATTTGAACCTCCGTAACGTCATTTTAATTTTATTTGAAAGACTTGTGTCCCTACTTCTATTCTAAAGACCAACTTCTTTTACATCTAATACGAGACTATATTCGTATTTCGAACTAGATCATATGAATTGTGTTATACAACGCTACTATTGAATGAAAAAGTGAAAATAATTAATGAACAATGTTTTGATTGGAGATGAATAATTTAACCAACAAATGAAACGCCAAGAACTGACCGACAAACCACACTTCCATGACTTGTATGCTAAGCCAAAACAACATCAAAATAGCTTACAGAACAGAATCAAGTAGTCTTAATTAACGCTTCATATACAACAAGATCTAATGAACAAAATTACTAATGATAATCATAATAATAATAAGAATAAACATTGTTTTTGATAATTACCATAAGATAATTAAGCATAACTCTAAGCAATCAGAGACATAATTTAGAAGACACCCATTAATTAAATCCATCAGGCAACTGCATCTGCACATACAAAACACACCAAATCCAAGCACTCATCAGAGAAACAAGAACTTATAATTCAAAACAGAGAATTTTGATGGAGTAAATAAATAATTGAAGTGTCCCCACTAATTGCAGTGTGTGGATTAGACGTCTGATAACCCCACAAGATTGCTGGGGTTTCATATGTTCATCTAATAAGCAAGAATTGTATGATAGGAAAAGATTTGTGACCAATTTCTTTGACCCCTTCTCTCTTGGATTTTACTTCTCGGCTGTTGGCGGTGAAACGGATTCAATTTCTGTACTAGCGTAACATTAGTCGATATTGTCCTCTTTGAGTTTTTTCATTCGGGTTTTCCTTCCAAATTTTTAAAACTCGTTTCTTAGGGAGAAGTTTCTACACCCTTATAAAAAATATTTCGTTCTCCTCCCTAATCGACGTGAGATCTTACAATTTAAGTATCACAAAGAAAATAATACTCTTTGGTTAGGTTATTGGATTAGGGTTTGGTAATGTTCTTTTTTCTCGTTTTATGTTTCGTGTTTCAAGTTATTAGGAAATATAAGCATTAGTAACTGTTACTCGTTTTTGCTTCTTATTGTTATGAAACGTTTTCGAACTTATATTAAAATAACTTCGAAAAACAAAAAGAAAAATTAGGGTTTTAGTGTTTAATATAGGAATAAGAGAAGAGTGTATAATTTACCTTGAATTGGAAGAAGAGAGAGAGCTTCAAAGCCTTCAAATCCTTCATGGTTGGGTGTTCCTATTTGGTGAGTTTGGTCAGATGATGATGCTTTGTTGATCTTGTCTTCAATCTCTGGGTGGATCTTCCTCTTCAGCATCCTTCTCATCAACTGCGTACACGTGGCATCATAACACGTCATCATGCATGATTTGTACTTCGGATTTGCTTTTGATTTGGTCTTTTTCTTTAAAGATTATGTTTTGGTGGCTGTCTCAAAAAATCATTAAAATCCACGAAAAATAAATAAATAAATAACAACAACATTACTCACTCGTTGAAGATTCTTAATGGGATGTGAATCCTCCTTAACTCGAGGGATAAGCTTCTTGGCAAAGGAGAGGCCACTCTTAGTTCTAACATCACCTGTTTTCTTTTGAAGCACTTTTTCATTCTCTAGTGCTTTCGCCACATCTCCAGCATCCGCCAAGAACAAGTCCGCCAGTGTTATCCTCCTTTCCACTTTCTTCTTCTCCTCATCCTCCTCCATCTCCATAATCTCATTGTATTTTGATTCCATATTCATATTCAGCTCATAAGCTCCAATGATCAAATCACCACCTTTCTCCCCATTTACATCCTTTGATTTGTGTCCAAATGTTGTGAACATCAAAGGGTTTAGCTCTTCATCGTCCACGAAATCGATACTATCGTCGTCTTCCTCATGAACGAATGATTTCTCTTCCTCTTCTTCTTCTTCTTCCTCTTCCTCCTCGTCGTCGTCTTCGCTCTTTAGTACGAGATACTCCATTTGCTTGTTCGATGGTTTCAATGATTCGAACCCGAATGTACCAATGGTGAGAATGCCATCTCTCCAGTCATGAAGGGCTTCCACATCAAGATCTACTTGCTTCAACAATGCTTGCCTGTCCACTTCATTAATGGTTGCGGTTTCGGTCTTCTTCGTCGCATTTTGAGTATAACCCTCTAGAAAAAATAACAATCTTATAAGTTAGATGGATCGATCTCGCACCTCGGCAATCGTTGAACTCTTGGAACAATTCAAAATTGAAATAGTTGTACGTATAAAAAGTTATTTTTTTTTCGATCTCTATGAAAAAATGAAGTAAAATGAGACGTATGAGAGAGAAACCCTTGAGAGCGGTGTGATGAAAAGTCTTGTGCACCCAGTTGAAGATCTGAAGTAAGAAAGAAAGTGGTGAATAAATGAATAAAGAGAGTATGAAGAAAATGGAAAGAGTAGGGTTAGAGGGACGTAAAGACCTTCATTTTGGTTGAAAGATTGTGAGTTAGAAAGGAGAAAGAACGAAAGGAAATGGGTTTATGGGGGAAGGAGGTGGAGAGAGTAAAAGGCATTAGGGGGCCAAAAGGAAGGGGGCATAAGGAGAGGACATGTGTGGGGGAGAAGTGGGTCCAAAGAAGAAGCCATGTTTGTAGGGTGTATGGCATGTTTGACCAGCCACCATGTTGCCCTCTTTCTGGCCTCTTCGATCTCCCCAAATTCTTCGAATCATTTCTTCATCTCTCTATCAATTCATCTATCAATATACATCATTTATCTATACATATCTCTTTCTCTTTGCTTTCTCTTTGCCTATAATTTTGTACCGCCATCTCAAATTCCATTTTAAAGTAGGTATAAAGTAGTATACCTGTCAGATCTTACATCGATTGAGAAGAACGAACCATTTTTTGTGAACCATTTTTTGTAAGAGTGTGGAGATCTCTCTCTAACAGACGCATTTTAAGATAATGAGGCTGAATCCGATACGTAATGAGTTGAAGCATACAATATCTATTAGCGGTGAGCTTGGTCTGTTACGACGGATCTAACAATCCACTCCCTTAGTGAGGATGCTAGACCCTAAGGGAGTGGATTGTGAGATCCGTCGTTGATCGGAGTGAGGAACAAAACATTTCTTATAAGAGTGTGGTGATAATCTCTCTCTAGTTGACGCATTTTAAAACTGTGAGGCTGATGACAATACGTAACGGCCAAGACGGGTGTACATTTTCCTTGAGATAGAAAGTCCGATCCCCTCCTCACATTTACTTAGCTAAATTACAAATGTATACCTTAAGAAGGAAAATGAATTTATTGATAGCACTACTACAAGGCATGCACGGTTTATAATAAAAGAAAAAGTTGACATTTTATATAGTCACGAGGAAAAGCTATAGAAAAAAAAAAAAAACAGACTCACAATCCAATTTTACGATATCGAGTCATAACGAAAAATACGATAAAATTTTTCTCAATATAAAATTAAGTCGATCAGTTCTCTTGATTGTCACGAACCATTCGAGGTCTAGAAGTTGTTCCCCTTTTTTTTTGGTGTCACAGATATAGTGGATGAGGTAATTGAGCTCGGGCGTAAATAATTTTTTCTATTATTTAGACTTAGTCAGCTTATATTACTTGGTGGTGAACGACTAGTATCTTGGGTGGAGACACGAACTCGTCATAAATCATGGAGCAATATGATGTCTCTTTCGAAACATTTCTATGTAAAGTTAACTGGCAACACTTCCATTGAAATCACCACAAAGTTAAAAGTGTGGGGGAGCAACTCCGTATGCTAGTTAACTACTGAGTCTACCTATATGGTCCATCGTCATCCCTTAAGAAGGGTTTACCGCATGGAGCCCTGTCATTTAACACATGATAATGACACCTAGTTTTTTCAACGTGCTACTATATATGGCCTAGGCCAAACTTGACGATATTGCTCCTGTATTTCTATTGCTTGGTAGGGACACTAATATGTGAAACCTAGGTTATTGGTAGTGTTAATGGTGTCAGAGGAGATAGAAAGCAGAGACTCTGCTGATACCGCTTACACTACTAGTAGGCCTGGTAACTTTTTTTTATCTTGGGTGTAATGTAGGTTAACTAGGTTATTAGGGTGTCTACGTGGTTTAAATCTAAGACCTCATCTTTAGGACTCTCTAAACTAGTTCCTCGAAGCTAATTTAGTTTTCGGAGCATTAAGGTTTAGACCACTAATCGCCACTCATGAAATTGGGCCGCTCGATTTACTAGAGACATTATGAAATAATTCTAACTCTCTATTCTTAATTCGTTATATTATGCACGCTCATATAGAGAGCTAACTCTATCAATCACCGAGAGTATAGTTCTCATTCTTAATACAAACATGCATTTTTGTAATAGGGAGATAATACAATCAATCACGTGAAGTATAAATCTCATTCTCAAATATGTATGCATGCTTAATAGGGAGGTAACTCGTTCAATCACCTAGAGTAAAAATCTCTTCTCAATATTGAGTATCTAACACAACAACATCTCATACAACATACCGATCACAAATCTTATTCTAAGAGCATTTTAGATATTCACAAACATTATATATAACATACTTAATATTTCAACTCAATCCAATGCTCTAAACATGCATTTTCTAACTATATATAACAAATCAGGTTCACATGCTAGCACATCCTAGTGATTCCTATAAGTAATTGTTAGGTTACCGAGTCTGATGCTTATTTATAGCTTAGTCAACCGTTATACATAGTAAAACTATATTTGGTAAATGATAAATTGTGATAAATAGTAAATAGCATAAAACTATATATGATAAAGCTATATATGGTAGATAGTTATATATAGTAGATGGTTATATCTGGTAAAGCTATATATAATAAGTTAAACCATATATATATATATATCCCTGAGCTTTGAAAATATACTTTCTATATTCTTTGTATTCTCTCTTATTGTACATATATGTAGTCATCAATATAAACCCTTTAGTGAGAGTTCTCCTTGCATTTTCTCTATCCTGTTCTTTGTGTTTATCTAGATCGAGTGTGTGCGTTGTTGTGTGATCCTAACAACTGGTATCAGAGCTAGGCGGAAGTCACCACGATCTGTGAAGATGGAAAGTTCAAAGATTGGAATTGAGAAGTTCGATGGATCCGATTTCGATTTCTAAAAGATGTAGATTGAAGATTATTTGTACAAGAAAGATCTTCACGAACCCCTGTTGGGGGTGAAGTCAGATACCATGACCAAAAAACAGTGGAAGCTCAAGGATCGACAAGCTTTAGGGTTGATCCGGTTGATGCTATCTAAAAACGTGGCATTCAACATCATCAAGGAGAAGACAACGTCAGATCTGTTGAAGACGCTGTCGAATATGTACGAAAAACCGTCGACTATGAATTAGGTGTATTTGATACGAAGATTGTTCAATCTACAAATGTCTGAAGGTGGATCTGTTGTTGATCATATAAATGAATTCAATATGATCGTAAGTCAACTGAGTTCGGTGGAAATTAATTTCGAGGATGAAATTAAAGCAATGATTTTGATGTCATCTTTACCTGAGTCATGGGATACTGTTGTTGCCGCAATCAGCAGTTCTCGAGAATCTGATAAACTGAAGTTTGATGAAATTCGAGATGTAGTTCTCAGCGAAAGTATTCGAAAACGAGAAATTAGAAATTCATCTCGTAGTGCTCTCAATGTTGACCAACGGGGAAGAAGTAAACAGAAGGGCCCAAACAAAGGGCGATCAAAATCAAAGAATCGAGAAAAATTTTCAAATAGACCAAACATAACATGTTGAAATTGTGGAGAAAAGGTCACTTTCGAACATATTGTACAAGACCAAAGAGGAAGCAGAATCACAAATCTGGAGATGATGATGATTCTATAAATTCAGCAGAAGACATTGGGGATGCTCTAATCCTCAGCATGGACAGTTCGATTGAATCCTGGATTTTCGATTCAGGTGCATCTTTTCATTCGTCTCCAAATAAAGAGTTGTTCTGAAATTTCAAGTTTGGAAATTTCGAGAAGGTGTATCTTGCCAACAACAAAGATTTGGAGATTAAAGAAAAAGGGGATGTCTAAATAAAAACTCCGAAAGAAAATCAGTGGACATTAAAGGATGTCAGATATATTCCTAATCTCAAGAAGAAGATCTCCATTGGTCAGTTGGACAACACAGGTTATGCAACAGAGTTAGGAAAGAGTTCATGGAAGATTATGAAGGGTGTTATGGTGGTAGCACATGGCATAAAATCTAGAACTTTATACACCACTATAGGGTGTATGAACATGACTATTGTTGTTGAGAGTGCTTAAGATTCAAGTTTATGGCACAATAGACTTGGACATATGAGCATGAAAGGAATGAAGATGTTGGTTGCGAAAGGAGTTTTAAAAGGTCTGAAATCTGTTGATGTGGGTCGTTGTGAGAACTACGTTATGAGCAAGCAGAAACGAGTTAGCTTCACAAGGACTGCCAGAGAATTGAAGAAAGTGGGAGTTGAGCTTGAGTTGCATGGAAACTCACTTAGTGATGTTGTAACAGATACTCATGAAACTTCTGAGACTACTAGTGAGGAACCAGATGTGGAGCAAGGTTCTAGGACCACAAAGCAAGTGGGAATTGAGCTTGAGTTGCAGGGAAACTCACCTAGTGATGTTGTAATAGATACTCATGAAACTTCTGAGTCTATTGCTGAGGAACCAGATGTGGAGCAAGGTTCCAAGACCACGAAGCAAGTGGGAGTTGAGCTTGAGTCGCAGGAAAACTCACCTAGTGATGTTGTAGCAGATACTCATGAAACTTCTGAGACTACTTCTGACAAACCAAATGTGGAGGAAGGTTCCAAGACAACGAAACAAGTAGGAGTTGATGTTGAGTTGTGAAAAAAATCACCTAGTGATGTTGTAGCAGATACGCAAGAAACTCCTGAGACATGGCAATAAGTGAAGCTGAAAAGAAGATGATGTGGATGACTGACTATCTGGAAGAATTGGGCAAGAAGCAGCACAAAAAAATTCTTTATAGAGATAGTCAGAGTATCATACAATTGGTGAGGAACCTGGTCTATTATTTAAAGACAAAACACAGAAGGCGATACCATTTCACTCGCAGGTTAGTAGAAGATGGTGATGTGTTTGGAGAAGATAGAGGGTGCAAAAAATCCAGCAAACATGTTGACAAAATGTGTTGATGTTGAAATATTGAGGTTGTGCAAAGCCTCAATTGATATGGCTCATGGTCGTTTGATAATGAAATTCTTGGTTGACTAGATCAGTGTCCAAGTGAGAGAATTGTTAGGTTATGGAGTTGGGTGTTTATTTATAACTTAGTCAATGGTTATACATGGTACATAGTTATATATAGTACATGGTTATATCTGGTAAAGCTATATATAGTAAGCTAAACCATATATATATCCTTGACCCAGTTTTGAAAATGTACTCTCTATATTTTCTATATTCTCTATATTCTCTTTACTGTACATATATGTAGTCATCAATATAAATTCTTTGGCCAGAGTTCTCCTTACA